TCTTCATTGCCTCCATTAAGGAGGGAGGGGGAGAGGCAGAGAGAGAGACAGACAGACAGAGGGAGGGAGAGAGAGAGAGAGATTAAAAAAGTGAGAGACAGACAGAGAGGGGGAGAGAGAGAGAGAAAGAGAGAGAGGGAATTGACTGATTTGCTTGTTCTTGGCTATATTTTTTCACTGAGAAATGATGAAATCCGTAACCCTGAGGTCCTGGTGGTTGAACCATTATAATGTTGATAAAGAAAGAACTGTACAAGTAGTCCTCGATTTACGACCACAATTGAGCCCAAAATTTCTGTTGCTAAGCATTGTTAGTGAGTTTTGCCCTATTTTTACTTTCTTGCCATGGACGTTAAGTGAACCACTGCAGTTGTTCAGTTAGCAATACAGCTGTTGAAGGGAACCCATTTTCCCCATTGACTTCACTTGTCATGACCCTGGGACACTGCAACCGTCATAAATACGAGCCTGTTGCTAGGCGTCTGAATTTTGATCACGTGACCAAGGGGACGCTGCAATGGTTGTAAGGGTGAAAAGTTGGTCGTAAGTTACTTTTTTCAGTGCCATCGTAACTTCGAATGGTCACTTAACAAATTGTTGTAAACCCAGAACTATCTGTATCAGCTACCATTAAAATTAAAATGGTTTGCGACAGACTGCTGTGTGAATATGAGCGATTGCATCTCTTCTGCTTTTTTGAATCTGTACAGTGTATGATTCAGGTCCAGATGGCCCATGTAGGGCTGGGTCTGCTTTATAAGGGGGGGGGAAGGGGGGGCTGTGACAGTGGAAGGGAGACAGTAAGAAATGACAGAGTGATCTGTCCTTGCTTGGTTCAGTCTACAGGTAGTCCTCAACCTGTTTTGAAAACAGGTCAATTACTGTTCAGATCAGTGGTGGGATACAACCAGTACACCCCGGTACAGGCGTACCGGTGCCTGCTGGGAGCACCAGGTACCGTTCCAGTACGGTGCTCTGGAGGGCCCACCCGCTCTCCTTAACTCTATTTAAGCCGACTGGGGAATTTGCGGGGTGTACAGCACCTGCGCAACGTTCCACTGAGCAGCTGGAGCATCATGAGCAGTGGGTACGCATGCACGCATTGCACGCATCCACATGATGGACGTCCTGCCCCGTTGCGGCGTACTGGTTGCAGCGGGAGCCGGAACCCACCACTGGTCCAGATGACTGTATTGTCACGAGTTTCTGGTAGTTCTACAATAAATCCATGGCTAAGTCCTCCCATGGTCTGGTAGGGGTCGTCACCATCTGTAGAAGGCCAGGAGGTTTTCCCAATCATTTCTTCATGGTGGCACAGATGGTGCTGCTCCAAACATATTCCTCTAAATCTTGTTTCATTCACGGCCACCAGAACTGTCAGTTCATCAGCTGAAGGGAATTTAGGAACCCGAAGTGTTCCGCAGCCCTAGCATTGTGGCACCATTGTACCACCGCTATATGTTGGGTATCAGGGATGTATATTTTTGAACCCTTCAAGGCCAGACCGTCTTGCCGAGTGAGAAGCTGTTGATGTCAGCGTTCCAAATATCATCCAGAATCAAATCAGAGTTCAAGGCAGAGCTTTCCTCAAAGTTCCAATTTATTAAGAGAGACATGTTGACACATCTGTGAGAAACCCGAATCTGAAAGCTTCCTGGGATTTCTACCCAGTTGAAAGTTCATGATCTTGTCCCCACACCCATAAGTCCATCACATGGTCCAATCGTCCACTGCCACGTTGGCATTTCCACCCATCTAGTTCCGGTCAAGTGCAGAGGTGCGGAGACAAAGAATGACCTTGGGCTTCTATAAAGGAATTTTGTTTTGGCTACATAGCATTCTACTCCTTTCTATTCCCCCTCCCAATTCCTCACTAATGAAACAGCAGAGTAAATAAGAAAGAGTGTGGCAGGCCAAAGATCCGTGAGCGGCTGTGCAAGCCTCATGCGGCATAGGAACCGTAGCATTTACCGCGTCCTCTCTGCCACTGTTGAACTGTAGCTTTCGCGATAAGGCATCCACAATTGCACCCCAAATTTCCATTGCTAAGCAAGACAGTTGCTGAGTGAGTTTTGCTACATTTTATTACTGTTCTGGCCACCGTTGTTAAGCGAGTCACCGCAGTTGTTTAGTTAGTGACACGGTCACTCAGTGAATCTGGCTTTCCCCATTAACCCTGCTTGTCAGCAGGTCACAAAAGGGGATCACATGATCCCAGGGACACCGCAGCTATATTTAAACACATGCCAGTTTGCCAAGCATCCGAATTTTGATCACCTGACCATGGGGATGCTGCTATGGTCATAAGTGTGAAAAACAGTCGTAAGTCACTTTCCCCCCCAGTGCGGTTGTAACTTCGAACGGTTACTAAACAAATGGTTGAAAATCGAGGACAACTTGTATTGCCTTTGGGGCTTCTTCACAATTATAACCCCTTGGAGAACATTGCCTCCGTAATTTAATATTATCCAACCTTTATTTTATCAATTCCAGTTTATTCATGCTTTTAAGTTCTCCTCTGTATGTTCAAAACATATCACTTGGGTGTCCTGTTTCCCCGAAAATAAAACCTCCCTGGATAATAAGCCCAATCGGGCTGTTGAGTGCATGCGCTAAAATAAGACCTCCCCCGAAAATATTTAAATGCATGGACAGCCGGTCCCTGCCATTTCCTGGGGCAGAGGAAGGAGGGGAACAAGCCCACATTTGCCCCACATGCACCTGCCATCCACGCGGAAAGTTCTTACGGAGGCCACACCGGCAAATCCTAGCTACCATGCCCCTCCTCTTAGTGGCGGCCGGAAAAAGAGTGGCAGGCCCAGCAACACTAGGGCTGGCAAGAGTGTGCCAGAAACAGAGACATAACTTCCGGTCCTCTCTGGATCAGCTAATCCGCGGGCCGAGGTTAAGGGGTCTCCTGTACCTCAAAAATAATAAGACCTCCCTGAAAATAAGGCCAAGCTCTTATTTTGGGGACGGGGGGGACGGGACAGGGGGACTTTGTCTTATTTTCGGGAAAATATGATATATTTATTTTTATGAGAATTGAAGCCAAGATCAAGAAGGAGAACGCCATGCGAGGAGATGTGTTACAGATTTCTCTTCTGTCCCATCTTTGCAGGATTACATCTTCTCTTTATTCCTATTATTCAGAGAAACGACTTGACGGTTTCCTAGCAAGCTATCTATAATCTACCCTCCTTGCAAACAAATGACGAATTTAATTGTCCCTGATTGCTGCTGAATTTCAAAAGAACTGCGTTTCCTTGAAACGAATTGGCAAAAAAAAAAAAAAAACAGAAACCCTCGCAGTTCCCTTGTTTTAGAATCCTTCAGTGGTAGCTGATGATTGCAGCTGTTTGTTGCCACCGCACGATATGAAAATAGAGAGAGATGAAAGGATATAAGCTTAACTATCCTTGGAGAAAGAAGGACAAAACACTTTTGGGGGGGGGGGTTGGATTTAAGAGTACATTTATACAGGTAGTCCTCGATTGAGGACCACGATTGAGCCCCAAATTTCTGTTGCTGAGTGAGACCGTTGTTAAGTCAGGTTTGCCCAATTTCACGACCTTGCTTACCACCATTGTTAAGTGAATCACTGCGGTTTTTAAGTTAGCAAGTTAAGAGCCGCGGTGGCGCAGTGGTTAGAGTGAAGTACTACTGCAGGGCTACTTCTGCTGACTGCTAGCTGCCTGGCAGTTCGAATCCCACCAGGCTCAATGTTGACTTAGCCCTTCCATCCTTTCAACATGGGTAAAATGAGGACCCAGATTGTTGGGGGCGAGAGGCTGATTCTGTATACCGCTTAGAGAGGGCTGTAAAAGCACCGTGACGCGATTTATAACTCTGAAGTGCAATTGCTATTGCTAGTAACGCGATTGTTAAGTGAATCCGGTTTTCCCAACCAGTTTGCTTGTCGTAAGGTCGCAAAATGGGATCATGTGACCGCGGGACACTGCAACCCTCGTGAATATGAGTCAGGTGCCAAGCATCTGAATTTNATAAATGAACTTTTGCACGATATTCTAATTTTTCGAGTTTCACCTGTAGATCCATAATTCTTGCTTAGGATAGTAGTCTTAGACTGAGCTATGTTAACTAATCCATTTTCTGCAAATTGATAAATTGCTCCATATTGTTGGAGCTGCTTGGAGAAAAGATGGCTATACCTGTGAGCACCATTTAACAGAATAATAGAATTGAAAGGGACCTTGGAAGTTTTCTAATCCATCCCCTTTAGTGGTGGGTTCCAGATCCTGTCGCAACCGTTACGCTGCATTATAGTGCCGGGCGTCCTAGTTGGGAATGCATGCTGCGCCCGCACGCACATGCCACCACCTGCTCGATGGTGGTTGCGCAGGTGCTGTGCGTGCTCATGCGCAATTGGCCGGTCGTGTTATAAACAGCCATAGAAGGCAGGCGGGCAAACGAGCCACTGTACCGGTACGATGGCCGCTGCTTCCGGCTACTACCAGTATGCCAATACTGGGCCCTATCCCACGACTGATGCCCTTGCTCAAGCAGGAGTCTGTATACCCGTGATGGGGAACCTATGGCACGCATGCCCGAAGTGGCACTCGGAGCCATGTCGCCTGGCAGGTGCCACATTGGCCGTTCCTCTTCCAGGTTTCTGGTGTGCATGCAGGCGTGATGATCAGCTGGCCTTTGTACGTGTAGCAGTGCCAAAAACTGGAAGAGCTGGTCTTCTGCTTTCCAGCGTGAGCATGTGCACCAGCCAGCTGATTGTCACGTGTGCGCGCACGCCATTAACCGGAAGACTAACTGGCTGGTGCGAATGCTGGGAACCAGAAGTTCATTTTCTAGCGCACGTACGCATCTCCTCTTCTGCATCACCTCTCCAGCTACAACTTCTGAAGGCAAGCAGTTCCACATTGTTTCTTTCCTTTTCTTGCCTTCTTCGCTGACGAATCACAGACGGATTTTGCATTTTCAACTTGCACCGCCTTATAATTCCGTCTTTTTCTTTTCCCCCATAGATTAATGTTGCAATATAGGAAACCTCTCAAGGTCTCCGATGAATTGATCCAGCAGTACCAGAGCAAGAACCAATACCTAGCAGCTATAGTAGCTGACCAGGAGCTTGAGATGGACCCATATGCTTTTGTTGATGGAGATGAAGAGTTCCCATTTCCCGATAAAAAGGACAGGCCAAACAGTGACCGAGAAATTGGGAAAAAACATAAGGTAAGTGGGGGGAAAAAATCAGGATATAAACCAGTAGAGTAAGCATTAATATTAAGGATCTAGGCTTTTGGGGGGGAGGGGGCATTTTAATGTGATGGATTACTCACAGGGTGGATTTGATTTAAATCAAGTCGATTTAAATCACGATTTAAATCCCTAGTAAAATGGCTTGATTTAAATCAACTCGATTTAAATCATAATTTTTGAAGAGCAACTGTCATCTCTGTCCTGCAGTGGCTCCTCCTCTGACCCGCTGTTGACTCCCCGACAGTCCCAATATTGCAGAATATACAGCCTCCTCATGCTACATAACTAAGCTCCATTTCATGCTGAATAAACCAAACCATTAATGTATCCTAAATAGAAAACTATCTTTAGATAGATTTCTACTCCAAAAGCATTTTTATTAAAATAAATTGGATAATAAGATAACAAGAGGGTTAAGAATGGTGAAATCCAAATGAAATACAATAGAAGGGTAAATAAGATAAGGTGAGCGGTATCGATTGAT